CAGTACAGGTGGTGATTTTGAATATGTTGATCAGGGTAAGCCCTTAACATTTGAGTTAAAACTTGGTGAGAGTAGTAAGTAGGTAGTGGTCCACAATGTTTGGACTTTTTTTTTTTAAGAATTTTTTTAAAGATTTATTTATTTATTTGAGAGAGAAAGAGAGAGCGAGCACGAGCACGAGGACAGGGGAGGGGCACAGGGAGAGGGAGAAGCAGACTCCCCCACTACGCAGGGAGCCCAATGACATGGGGCTAGATCCCAGGACCCCAAGATCATGACCTGAGCCAAAGGCAGACGCTTAACCCACTGAGCCACCCAGGCACCCCTTGTTTGGATTTTAGGAGCAACTTAAGGAAAGAAATTTTACCAGCAAAGGGCTAAGAAATCTCTGTAATTAATGTGTGATTATTACTTAATGCAATCTCATGCATAAATAAAAGCAACACGGTTTAAAAAACCACTTTGATGTTTGTTTCTTGAAATTCTGAATTATTCAATCAAAGCCTTAATTAATTAATTTAGGGTCTGCAAAGAAAAAAACTCTTTGACAAGGAATTCCAATAAACAGACATATTGTTAAAATTTATGACTTGATAAATTTAATATAAGACTGTTCTAAAATTCACCTCAGTTAGAGAGGTCATAAACTGTTTCTGAAATCATGGTTTCACTCTGATGACACCTCACTCTTGTAGAGATGGGAATATTGTTGACGAGCTAGAAATCACCTATGCAAAAAGGAGGTAGTTCCAGTCCAAGGAAGTTAAGGTGGGATTTTAAGATTTGTAACAAAGGAAGAACTTCAGGTCACTTTCTTTCTCACCTGACAGACAATCTCTGTGTCAAACCAAACAAATAAACAACAACCCCAAAACTTAAAACAAATGCTGTTGGAGAAGATATGTGATGGTGGGGAATGGAGGATGGGTCAGAACAAAGAAAGTAGACAGCTCTCAAAGGCACTAGGTAGAGAATCACATGTGCTTACCTTACCCCCTAGAAAGTGTTTACTTTCTCAGCTTGTTTTGAGATTTCAGCTGCCTGGTCCCCAGCAACAAGCTCCTCTTGGCCCTACCCTTGAACCAGTTCTTACTTGAGTCCAAGATCAGCTATCCTCTCACTCAGTACCGAGGCATCGTTATTGCTTGCCCGCTAGCCTTGCACTAACAGAGTTTCTGGACTTATCACATGTCTGAGCCAGTCTTTACGAGTTCAGGACTACCTCAGTTTTTGTAGGACTGTTTACGGGTTTTGGTGGTCCCCTTGGCTTTTGCAGTCCTGATGGCAGGGTTTCTACATGTGAATGTCAGCCCAGAGGTTGGGACCTACTACCTATTGAGAGACCAGCTTAATTCTGACATCTTGCTTGCCTACATTCACAAATATCAGAAGAATTGGGAATCCTCATTACTGCATTCCATACTCTCGTCAGAACATCAGCCTGTTAGATCTCTTGCCAGACAGGTACTGGAATATCACCTACTATATGAAAGAAAACCTAAGTTTAGGGATGAGAAGAGGAGAAACAGTAATCCTTTAATGAAAGGCAATACTAAAATATTAGGTATATTGGGAAGAACATGATGCACCGCTGTGATTGTAGAAACTGTACAGAGCTACCTTTGTCAGGCAGAACAGTGTGTCCCTTCTGGCAGGATCTAGACTGGACCGAAGACAGTAAGGCAGACCATGTGCTAGAAACTTTCTCCTGCCCTGAGGTAAGGCATAGCTTTGAGAAAAGGCAGAAGAGAGCCTAGAATGAGGATGATGGTGAGAATTCACATTTGCAAGATGTGGAATTTACATTTACATCATTTTATTTATTGAATGATCACAAAATCTTACAAGGGAGAATTATGCTAGGCACTGTGCATTCCTCAAAGCAACATTAGAGGGAAGCTACTTGTGAAGTAGTAAAAAATATTTATATTGGTCTCTGCCCCTGGTTCCTGACACAGAGCTCCTAAGACCTTTGTAATTTCCTGAGTAGTAGACTCATCTGACACAAAGTTCCTAAATCTCTTAGAATTTCCTGGGTGATGGGAACCCATTTTGTTCTAATGAGGTGACTCTTGGTAAGCTCATCAATGGGGACTGCTCACCAGAAACACCAAGCCAGGGGCACCTGGGTGGCTCAATTAGTTAAGCACCTGACTCTTGATTTCAGCTCAGGTCATGATCTCAGGGTAGTGGGATTGAGTCCCATCATGTTCTGCGGGGTGCCTGCTTGAGATTCTCTGCCCCCCGCCGCATGTGCACTCTCTCTCTCTCTCCAAAATAAATAAATAAATCTTTAAAAAGAAAGAAGGAAAGAAAGAAAAAAAAGAAAGAAAGAAGAAAGAAAAGAAAGAAGAAAGAAAAAGAAAGAAAGAAAGAAAGAAAGAAAGAAAGAAAGAAAGAAAGAAAGAAAAGAAAGAAAAAGAAAGAAAGAAAGAAAGAAAGAAAGAAAGAAAGGAAGGAAGGAAGGAAGGAAGGAAAGAAGGAAGGAAAAGAAAGAAAGAAAGAAAGAAAGAAAGAAAGAAAGAAAGAAAGAAAGGAAAAGGAAGGAAGGAAGGAAAGAAGGAAGGAAGGAAGGAAGGAAGGAAGGAAGGAAGGAAGGAAGGAAGAAACAGACACACACCAGGCCATGACTAAAAGTTTGGAATGTTTAGCCCTACCTCTGGTTTCTGGAGAGGGAAGAGGAGCTGGAAATGAAGTTAATAATCAATCATGCCTCTGTGATGAAACTTCCATAAAAACCCCAATGGTTGACTTATTTCACTCAGCATAACACCCTCCTTTACATGGGCATTATTTACATGCCCAGAGTTTTTGTTCCTATGCTCTTCCTTGGACCAATTTAACACTCCTTAGGCACAGCATAAAAGGAATTCTATTATCCTTTCTCTGTTCTATCAGCACATCTAAAACTCTACTCCCAAACTAGACATTACATGGGCAATGGGAGGATGCAAATGCTTAATATTCTATAATCTAAATAAGCCAACTGTATTTAATCCAGAATTTTTATATAAATATTATTCAGACCCAGAAACCTTTAATTGGCATGTTTTCATTGGATGGTTCAGAAAACTGAAACTCATAATGATATTAAGTGATCACCAAAGAAGTGACTCACATCAGCGTCTAGCAAATGCATCTTCCCCAAATATTATTAAGGGCAGAGTGATAAAGGTATCCTGATATAAGAATTGTCCTCCTCCAAGATCAATGAACAATCTATTTCCCTAATGAGTTTGGAAACCTGCAAATCTAGTTAATGCTATATGCAATTTTAAATGAATAATAACATTTGCAGCTAGATATGAAGTATTGCTATGTGTCAAGCTCAGTTCTAAATATTTTTTGTTTATTAATTTATTTAATCTTCATTACACCCCTGAGTGGTAGGTCTTATTATCTCTCCCCTTTTACAGAGGTGGAAACTGAGGCACAGAGGGTTAGATGACCTAAGTCACAAGGCACAGCTGGTGAGGCAGTCTGCACTCTTACTCACCCCAGCACAGTGTATGTGGCATCAATGGATGACTTTTATTCTTTTAGTCCACAGATGTCCCCCAGAAAACAAAACAAAGAAACAAAAACACTACCCTAATGATTAGACACTGACAAAGGATTGTCACATGGTATGTCTGTTAAATATCAGAATGATATCATAACATCACTATGGGAAAAGTAACCTAAGAGCAAGAAGGATATGTGTAACAACATACAGCTGAGGAAACCTAGGGAAATAGCGGGAAACAGATTACCAATAAGTAATCTGAGAAGCAACTGTGATTCCCCTTTTCAAGCAAAGTTATCAGGTGGATAGAAAGCCTAAGAGGCAGAAGAACAGGCATCACTGGCCTCTGCAAACAGCAGCTGGGAGCAAAAGTACTGAGAGACATGTGTCAATCCCTTCAGGCTCCTCCATGCTCCCGGTCATGAAAACTAATGTATGCATGGAATGATGTCCAGGCCTTGTATGTCCCTCAGGAGGGTCCCCATGAGTGGACTAGAAGATTATTGCTAGAGATTAAATCTGGATTAATATCAAAGACAATAAGCAGATAATTCGGATTCTGTATTATTGTTATCAGAGGTAAGTCAATATTATCAAAGCTAAGTATTAGGGAAAAATTATTCTAGAAAGTGAAGTTCAGTGGATACTCGAATAAATTGCCAAGTCAAAGAATGAGTCAATTAGCATAGTGATTGGTTTTGATGAAATGTGTATAAACCAAGTTCTAATTCTTTAAGTTGGTGACCTTCCTTTTCTCTATCAGATACCAGTTTGTTCCTTCTTCAGCTTGTTGTAGACTTAGAGTAAGACATTCATGAAGTAGAGGGTACTCCAAGCTTCTACAGGAGGGATTGTGATATAGGCATTCATCAGCTTTTCAGGAAAAGGATGCCTAATATAAAACATCCTACTTCCTTATTCTCTGGGAAGATGAAGGCATATTCCTTCAACCAATAAGTACACTTGTGGCATCTACAAGAAGAGAAGGTCTGCCCTGTATAAGAAAGGGTCAGGAGATTTCACTTCCCATAATTATCAAGATAGTAAAGAAGAATACACAGAAATTACTAAAATTATATCTAACAGGTGGTTATCTGAAAACCACTTATTACAATATGAATGAATCCTTGCATTCAAAGGATAGAAACCAGGAAACCAGAAGAGGGATCACCCACAAAATACCTGTCGCTGTTGATACAGAATCAAGCAAAAAGAGGCACGACCACCAGACACTGATGCAGGTAATTTACCGTTTGCACTCTACAAATATTCCTACTCAGAGCTGGGCTCTACTGCAGGCAAGGCTTTTTTCTCTGACCCAGCTGTGAGGAGACTGAGACATTATAGTGCAGGAGATGCCCTCATTAAGTAGGTTAGGGTATTCTAGCTTTTTCAGAAATCCTTAGAAAGGAAATATTTTGTTTTTGTCCCTGCCAACCTCCCCCATCACTACACCCGTCCCCTTCCCAATATCCAGTGAACTCCTAGTGCTTACTTGGGATACTTTCTAGATTGAATGAAGGGCAGAATCTCAGAGTCTTGATTAGACAATGGAAGTAGTAAATCTCGAAACCGTTCTGTCAAAAGAAAAACATCAAGTTGTAAAAAAATAAAAGTCATGAAAATAATTTCAAAATGTAATTATTACCTATTGTTTTAATTTGTCCATTATTTTGGCTGCATATCCTTTATTAGAAATGTGCCCACCATTTTGTATAGTATTGACATATGTCAATTTCACTTTAATGACTATATCTTTTTATGATTAAGATATTCCAACAACTGCCAATACAAAAATAAATAGTATTCATTAATATAGACTAGTAAAATCTTATAATTGAAAGATTAGAGGAAACACTCATGACCAATAAATATACCTAAGAAATATGCAATCTCATTAGTAACCTGGAAAGTGCTAATCAAAGCCACATCCCATTAGATAACATTCATATATTATGTGGCATTTGATTGACAGAAATAAATCTCACAAGACCAAGTGTTAGAGAAGATGTGGATCAACATAAGCTCTCATATAGTTCTGGTGAGAATGCAAGTTGGTACAATAGCTTTGGAAAACAATTTGCGATTATCTTCTAAGTTTAACCTCTGTGTACCCTATGAGCCAATATTTCCATTCCCAGGTATATACTCCACAGAAACTTTCACATAATGTCTTAGGCAGCAAGTAAAAGAATATTCATAGCAGCACTGTTCATTACAATATAAAGAGAAACCACTCAATTGTCCATCAACAGGAGAATGGACAATTTGCAGCACATATACACGTGGAATATTAATTGAAGTGAAACTGAATGAAATCAGTTACAAATAAAAACATAGTAAAATGGTGAGTGGAAAAACTACTAGTAGATTACATACAGAAAAATATCTTTTGTTGAGTTAAAAAACAACTAAGCAATGTATTGTTTAGAAATGTTATGTATAAAAAAAAGCAATCCAATGAAAAAAAGAATAATATCCATAATCCAAGATAATGGTTATCTTTTAGAAGGGGTAAGAAGATGAAATAGGAGAAAAGCAAAAGGTAGGTCATCATTGTTAATACTTTACATCTTTATGAAATATATGAAATTTAGATACGTATATAAATATATCTATAGCATCATAAAGGAGTAAATGAATGAATGTGGGTCAGGGATTGTCCAATGATGACATTAGCCCATGAACCAAAACTTTGACTAATGAAATTCTGTGCTTATTAAGCTCATAATGAAGGAAGGAGGGAGAGGAAGAGAAGGAGGAGAGAAGAAGTTAGGGAAGGGGAGAGGGGTGAGAGAAAGGAAATGGGGGGAGGAAAAAGAAGAATGTGGAGGAAGGAAGAATCCTCAGTTCTACTTTAGAAATAGTTGTACTGCATAATTATCTGCATTGCATAGAGTAGTCTATCATTCTGAGGCTGATCCCATGTTTCCAGGACTAGGTACTCATTACTTCTAGTCATCCCTATTGGGAAGGCTTCCTTGATCCCTCCTCTTTCTTTTCTTCTTCCTCCAAAATCTGGAATAGATGGCCCTACTGTTTGTACTCCTAGTATACTCCATGCTTACACTCTCACAGAATGTTTCAGACTACATTTTTATTGTTAGATACAATTGTCTATCCACCTCTCCTTCTCCTTCTAGTAGATGGGTATTGCATCACCTGGATATAGAACATTATCTGATACCTATTAAGATGCTAGATAAATATTAGTTGAAACGATATTTCCATTTTTTTCTGCATAAAGAAAGTTGCCAAGGTTAATCATAATGCCTTTCAGAAAAGCCCAACTGGTCATCTATCAACCATGAAAAGCAAGGGTACCGGAGCTCCAGCCTTGACAGAGTCATAGGGTCAGGCTGAGAGAGAGGGCAAAGCCGAAGCTCCAAGCTGCTGTAAATCCATCACTAACCAAAGGTGCACAATTTCCACAAAATACTGAAAATTTGCAGTTGATGACAATCGTCACTTCCCAGTTACTGAATAGCCGGATGTTAAACACTGGTGAACACAGTGGTTAGAAAGTATGCTGAGAAGCAGGATGGGGATTTATCTCCATATTTATTACAACACATTGAATTGGATGTTTAACTGACCTCTAGTCTGTTGCTTCTTATCAGCACTCTGACGTTCTTACCGTACACTTGGGGAGGAACTGAGAAGATCCTAAGAGAGATGGTTGTACTGTAGAGTCCACAGATCTAAGAAAACACAATTTCTTTTTCTCCTTCAAGTACACATTTTTAGTTCATATTTTAAAAATTAAATTATATCGACCGATAATACTGCTACTTTTAATGAGCAGAATTAATGTTTATTTCAATGAAATGACTAGTAAATTCTTCCGATGGGACCCTTGTCTTTCAGTACACGTCCCAGTTTATGTAGCATTTCATTAAATGAGTGATTTGCAATGTTTCTCCTTTTCCCCTTTTCCCTTCCATTTATCCCTTTCCTAAACAAATCTTGAAAAACAGAGCCAAAACCCAACCACAAACATGAACTTCACATCAAGTAAAGAAAGAACTGTTCAAACAGCTACATTGAATATGATATATCCTTGGGTGCTAACAATATAAGTTGAAGTTTTAATGAATGATTCTCAAACTGATTGCAAGGAAAAGAAAAATCAGAATTCTTAATGCCAACAACCATAACATAATACAGCTGGAGGCTTTTCCCTGTTTCTATAATCACAAAAACATTTGACTGTAAATTTGAAAGACAATCTCTAGAGATAACATTATATTGATAGGATTTAAAACACATACACACACACACACACACACACAGAGCAAAATTAGCATATAAGAAATTACTTGCAAATCCACCCAAACTATAAAATCTATAATGAATATTCTTACATTTGAAGCATTCTTTAATCTGATATCATAAATGCAAGCAACACCAAGCAAACATGAAGATCCTTCAGTAGCTACCAGGAATGTAAAAAAAAAAGTTCATACATATACAAAAAAAATAGCTGCTTAAAATTATATCCTTTTAAAATGTTTATTTTTATTATATTCATAAATTCCTAAATATGAACAATTAACTTTATCCCATACAGGTATAATGATTGTTTACTTTTTATGAGAATAAAAATAAATGATAAAAAGTATCCTTAGAAAAATCCAAGTAAATGAAAAATTGTTTAGTCTCCCAGATTTCTGCTTATCAACTAATTAATTAGCATCCCATTGTTTATCTGATGCTGGGAAAAAAAGACCAAAATAAACTGGTGTTTCCTCTGTTCAATAGCAGAATTTTTAAAATAATACTTCTCTTGCTGCAAATGTCACACCAGATGATCTGCTTTCTCAGGAGGCCCAAAGTCTATTTCTTAGGAAAATGGCAGTTATCCAAACACTAGATCTCAACCCTTTCACCGGGCTCCTAGAATAATTTCATTAAAGCCACTGAAAAAAACCAGAGGACTTTCTGAAAGGTTATATCTTGATGAGTTGACTAATGATGAGATAATGTCTGAACATGATTGTCTACCAGTCGGGGATATATCTTAATTAAAATAAGCTTTTGTAGACTTTCACCTACTCTTCTGTTCATCCCATTCAATCAATGAAAAGATTGTGAGGCTCTCAGACCTGGATGGCATACTACACATGATTACACTATTTTGGGCTCTCTGGACAATCAATTGTGAGACAATACACTTAATTATTCAAAATCAAAGATGAGAAAAATAAAATAATCTTTCCAATTCGAATTCAAACTTTTTTGTATATTTATTGTGACTCAATTCTTTATCTTCCCCTTTGTGAAAAGTGGCCACGTTGTAATCCTCCTTCAAATGCAGAATGTAACAAATGCAATACAAATTTGCATAACAACAAAAGACCAGTATGCAAATATGTTTCTGAGATGAGAAGACAATAAAATCTTCCTACCACTATAAAAAAAAGAAAGAAGTTAAATAAGGGCAGAAAAGAAAATAAAAAGATGATGCCCTCCTTCTGTAGTCCAAAAGTCCTTTGTATCTGAAGATGTGATCATAGCCACCTAATGTGTGTCTCTGAGAAACAGCTGTTTGCTGGAAGAACTCTGTGGAGATTTTACCAATTCTAAATCACTGTTTCTTTCCAAGTAATCCCCTTTCCTTACCTTTGCTTCTCCATAGTCTCCACTATGGAAATGAATGTTTTAACTACTTTAAGTATTACATTATCATGGTCAAGGAAAGAAAACCAAATAAAACACCTCTAAAGACTGATAATATTGCTCTAAAAAATCTGGTAAGAAGTTATTGGGATTTTTATTATTAGATACAAATTTTCTCCTCTTTTTTTAATGCTTATATTACACTTGATTTGCCAGTTTTAATTTCTTTCTTGAGAAAGCATTAAGACAAAATCCTTAAGGGGTATTAAACAGATTCATTAGAGACTTAAACTTAGTTTTAAAAATAACTAGCATCATGTAACAAAGTATTAGAAGTTATAAGATAAATGTTGTAAGGAAATAGACATCATCCCCATGCTCTTAGTCTTCAAGCAAAATCTGTAAATGATTACACTATAATATTTCTATTATTTTACAAGAAAAACTGAAGATTATCTCATAATACAGGCAGGGTTATAAGTGAGTATGCATGATACAGGGCATAGCAAGAATGAATCTCTCTTTACTATATAGTTTGCAGTACTTAGAGCAACAGGGCATAATAGAAAAGATACCAAACTGGTTGTCAGAAAGTCTGAGGTTCTCCACCTACTTCTTCCTCTGTTCTTAATTCCTTTGCTCAATTGACAAATGAGTTCAGTGATCTTTAAGCCACCTTTCAACTTTGAAACCCTCATATGCTTAAGGACAGGATAGGAATCTTGCCAAAGCCACTGAAGGGGAGGGTGGCTATGTCTTGGTTTGCCTGGGACGGTGTTGGTTCATGCTTGCTAGCATTCTGCTCGATTTAGTATTCATCTCTGAATCTTATTTCTAAATTAAATGTTACTAATGAAATATGCTAGGGGGGCTGTGGTTTATACAGAGAAGTCTCCTTCCCCCCCCATATTCTGCTTCAGTGAAGTGCTTGTGGTCCAGTTGTGGAGTAGGGTCAGCA